GTGTAACAGCAGTACAAAACGCATATTGTCATGGGGTTGTCTGTGTGTGTGTTTGTGTGTGTGTGTCTGTCCGCAGCAACTTGTCCGCAGTTTTCAACTCGGGATTGTTACGGGGTTGTCTGTGTGTGTGTGTCCGCAGCAACTTGTCCGCAACTTTCAACTCGGAAACCACTGTTTGTGTGTGTGTGTGTGTGTGTGCCCGCAGCAACTTGTCCGCAACTTTCAACTCGGGAACCACAAGGAAGCTGAAAATTTAGGGGAACGTTCCCCACTCACGTGTGACCCCGCAAATTTAAATTCAGCTTCCTAGTACCCGCGGGTAACGCGTACGGCCCCGTGAAAGTTTTCTACGGGTAAGTTAGTATCTCGGGAACCACGGAATCTAGGAGGCTGAAATTTTAGGGTAATGACCGGTAATGACCCTCTGCCCACGCTCAACCTTGCCCATTCAAATTCAGCGTTCTCGCTCTCTCGGGTATCACCTACGGCCTCGTGAAAATTTTGTCTAAACTATTAACTCTGGAATCACGGAAAGATATTCATCCTTTAAGGTTTGGAATTCAGCTTTCATGCCCTGGGCGTGAAATTTCTAACCATTTTTCAATGTTTCAACTATTTTTGCATGGACTAAACTACAAAGCGGTGAAAATCATTAATAGGCAATTGTCCGATGGGCTGAAATGCACAAAACGCATGATCGCACCGGCTAGTCTGGTGCGTGTTGCTATTTATTGTTTAAAGCAACTGGAAAAGTCGCAAGCTGCATAGTTGGAGAACCGTGAAAATTATGAATTACTGCTTTTCCAGTAATGCAGGGAAGAGTGTGGTGTGTATGTTTCAGACAGCGATATTTCGATTTTTGGTGGCACTAATAATCGCATTTTGCCTCTGGCACGGTTTAATCGGTCTTACAATGGAAATGAAAGCTTTAAAAGCATCGAAAGCATCGATTGGAATGCTTCTCAACGACTGATCCGCAATCATTTTTGCCTTCATGATGATGATGTACACTATGGTTTTGATCAGCATACATTCCAAAAACGCAGTATATGCTTTTTTGAATTTTTTGATTTCTAATTTTATTATATTTTCTCCTTTTTCCTCTATTTTCCTCTTCTATCTCAATTGGAGAACCTGAAAAAAGTGTAATCTTTTGATTGTTGAAGCATATTCTGGATGCTGGTGTCTTTTTTTTCTCTTCATGAGCTTATCAACAATCAGACTCTCCATCAGATGAGCAGCGTGCGATTTTTCGTAGCGATCAAGTGAGAAAGTGAAATTTGATGGACAGGGGCATGCTACTGGCTTTGTGACAATGGACAGGTGTCCTGTATTTGTAAATGGTATGCACGAGAAAGTAAACGACCACTCGGGGGACCCCCGAAGAATTGGCATATATATAGGTATAGACAAACGATGAATGCTAATTGGAATGTAACTTACGATTGAAAAGCCTGGCATAGCTGCGCACAATATGTGTTATCATTAACATGGAATTTCACATAGATAGTCCGAGCGGTCCTGGTGATATACTGAAATAAGGGTAAATCTGGAGCGTAATTGAGGTATAGCGCAGTTTGAAATTAATTTAGCAGCTTTGGGGGATCTGAGCCAGATAAATTAAGCCGGTTTTTTTTTTTTCATAGCTTATCCGTTTACGGTCATTACGGTTAATTTTTATGGTTTCTATGACCAGTGGTGTTGCATCATCCGGTATTCAGCTTGCTTTTGTTGCTGTTGCTGATGATCTCGACATTGATCCTCTTGCTTCCTTTCACCAATCTTCCGGGACAAAAACTGTTTGCTCTTCATCCTCTTTTTGGGTCTTTAACTCACTCATTAGCAGTTGTTATCCTCCTCGTATTGATTTTCATCGAAAAACGAAAAAATTTTATCGAAAAACAAAAAAATTTCGTCGAAAAACGGAAGAAATTTCATCAAAAAATAAAAAAAAAACCCCTGGCCTTTCGCGACTCATTGCTTTTGGTGAGTTTGTTTGATTTTATTCCATCTATAACATTCATTTTTTCCTCTTATTTGAAATAATATTCGAGGAGATTTATCTGTGTTTTTGATGCTTTACTATGCATACTTCATTCATTCATTCAATTGTTGGCATAAAATTCATTTACCGGTGTCTTCTGCCATTTCTGGTGCATTATTATTCAATCCCTGTGATTAAAACTCAGTTTGTTCTGTGTTTTTCTTTTTTTTTTCAAATATTCCACTAATTTATCAGTCTTTTCCTACAAATTTGTGGTTTTTGTCTGCATTTAATATTTCTTGCCCTTATTTTCCACCAGTGATATTGTCCTTTATTTAATCTTACA